AGTAAAGAGTAGGAATGAAGGTGGGTAGACCTTGTAAGATATTAGCGACAAAGAGGATCCAAAACGCCGAGGAATGGAGAAAGGAAGTTTCGATCGGAGGCGGGGGAGTGCTGGACGTGGGGAATCGTGATTTCATGTACGGAAAGGCAGGTAATATGAAAACTACGAAGGCGACCGCCTGACGCGCTCTTTTAGGCGACAAGTTCACCATAACGGCTTGCGCTTACGAGTGACAGCAAAGTAACTTCGTGTCCGTATTTGCGCAACAGGACCTCGACAATGAAAGGGACGACAACCCCGCCGACTCCTGCAGATCGATGAGTATGACTACAAGCATTTCAACCAATCACGAACCGGTTCCGGAAAAGATGATGCCGTTTGCCTGTTCAAGTTTGGGCAACCTTTCAAGGACGTGAAGCGTTCCACTCACAAGCCCCTTTCTTTCGTGGAACCATTCGAATAGGTAGGTCATCACGGGAAAATACAAAAAGCCTAGGTTGGATGGTGAGCAGAGCAGATCCACGATAGATATACGTACTTCCGCCGAGAGCATAGATAACTCCTTGTGTCAGAACCAGTTGCCACGGCTGGGTCGCAAACGCTGCACCAATCAAGCCTGTCACGCAAAATACGACACCTAGCGCCATGACGGATTTCTTCAGTGCGGGGTATCGAGCGATAAAGGGAAGAACCATCCATGAAGCCATGTAGATGATGCCTGTGGATGTTGACCCAACCAGAGCCAGTGTGGAGGAAGACGCGGTTGGGAAAACATGGGTCTTGTAATGTTCAAGAAAGACGCCATAAGAGAAAGGATACGACCTATGGGAGTGATTTTCCATTTCCATTCCAGCCCAATATGTACGACGGGCAGTTGAAAATCACGAACCAGACGAGAAGCTCGACAACCCAAGCGCTCTGGGAGAAAACAACCTTAGCCCAATCCACCGACATGTCGCCGACATACCACAAGATACGCCATGGCGTGAAATCCGCGGTCCTAAGACGACGTTAGTGTTATACATTGGTCGTCGAAGGGCAAATCGACCGTAGGTGGGAGGCAATCCTCTTCATTCGAAGTCGTGCTATTGTCTGAAGTTGGGGCCACTGAGACGATTTCGATTTCCGCTTCTGTCTTGGCCATCTGAGACGAAGCGAAAAATTATGCTGTGTCCCATTTTCGATTCTTATGAACCACAGTAGACGGAGTTGGAGGTACATCCTTGACTCCCCGTAGGCGGACCGACTATCATTTGGACGAGTCAAGATCTCCAGATGCATTTTGTCAAAGAAAACCGTGCGACAACTTGAAGTGGGTTGGTTCAGGTGCCTTGTTCCAACTGGCATAGCGCCTTGTTCCACATCTCATGCTCGAGGGTTCTCCGGGATACAGTTTAACAGCCATCCATCGAAACTGGGGGATTTCGTGCCCGAAAGGAAAGTCCGTCGTCTCATTTGATACGTCGGAGTGGCGCCCTTGAGACAACCCGACGGGGAGCATACCGACGATGCAGGCGCTCCTCCGAAGCTGGGAGGATATGCCCAGGGCAGGTAACGGCGCTTTGAGGTTTTAATACGTCCGAATTGAGCGCCTCCGCCATGGCCGAGCTCATTTGATAGGCCGCCATAGAACTTCGAGGTCTGTAGGGGACTCGCGCTTCAAGTTGAGAGTTCTCTACGATATCATCGTCGATATTCTCGTCGATAACCCTGATTACCTAGTGCGGGAGTCAAGTAGTTTTCCAAGATATAAATGGAGCATAGCTGGAAATCCTTGAAAATCGGAATCGGCGGAGAAAGCAAGAGCCTTGCAAGAGCCTAGAGGGGTTGCGTCTGCGCGTTGAAACCCTCGGAGAGATCGAGGTTGAGGAAGCGGCATATGCTATATTTGGCTGTCCGTCGGGAGGACGTTCAGCGGTGATTGGGAAGGAACACGGAGTTGAAGACGGACTCTGCGGAGGAAGCCAGCAATGTGACAGTCGGCGTCGAAAGCAAGGTTAAGGATCAGTGGGTACCGGAACTTGCCGAAATCCGAACACGGCGGTTGCCGACTTTCTTTGTCGGTTGGGCTTTTCAACCACGGCGTTATTGTCGCGTCACAGCAACGGAGAAGCCAGCGCGAAGCGAATGATCCCCGTTCCCGAGCGCCAGATCTGCAGGTAATATTATGTGAGGGTGAGGAGTTGAATGGACATCTAATAAATTGCGGCGAGATACTGTGAGATATGTGATTATGGAACGTCGTGAAGCCGACGGGAATGCGAGAGAAGTCGATCCAAACTATTAAATCCAGGACAACAGATAAATCGCGGTCCATTAGTCCGGGTACAGCTTATCAACCAGTGAATAAAACAGACCCAACTGAGTCAGAGTTGAACGTACCTTGCCAGGATTGAACAGCCCATGCGGATCCATCGTCCGCTTAAGTTTCTTCATCAGCGCTACCGTACCAGGTCCCAGCTCCTCTGCGAGGTATTTTTTCTTGCCAACCCCCACACCGTGCTCCCCGGTGCCTGAAACACGCTCGTCAGGAATTCGAGGAGCGTAAGGGAGCGAACAAACATGTTCCGTCCAAAGCTATCGCTCGCCGTACAAGGCGATCAACAACTATTTTTGCCACGTCCAACTCTTCTTCTGTCGTGTACAGAAGGAGTGCATGGAAATTTCCATCCCCTGCATGACCGCCCATGATGAAAGGAATCTGGGCGGTAATGAGGTCTTGCTTCGTCTCATACACCAATTCCGGGAGTTTCGAAACAGGGACGCTGCAATAGCCGGTTTAGCAAAATGCCATGATAGACAAATACGAAGAAAGAGATCGCCGCACCAAACGTCTGTTGACCAAGCTTTCGCTCCAGGCACGGCGGCTATCCCGTAGTGTAACGCACTCTTTCGGTCAGACCAAATAGCTTCTGCTTCGGCGGCATCGCTGGCAAGTTTGAAGCCGGTGCCTCCATTCTTCTCGCAGACAGCTTTGACGATCTTGGCGACCTCCTTCATCGCAGCTTCGGAATGTCCCTGGAACTTAAAGAATAATCCGTCTTTCTCAAGGTATTTTCGCTTCGATGAGCCTGGTGATAATTTCAGCGAGTGCAACGAGAAATGTCAAATGACCACACCAAATTTATTCAAAGTCGCCATGAAGTTTTCGTCCACTAGTTCGACGCATTCTAAACATCAGATTAATTGTAAGCGACTTTTGGGATCACATTTGAAACTCACGGACGCTGGCCCCAACACCGGCGACATCAATGGCTTGTCGCACTGCTTCTGCCGCTGCATTCACGTTTGGAAATTGCACGGTTGCAACGGTGGTGGGAACGACGGGCGCTAGCCTAATCGTGACTATAACGGAGGGAAGTGCCTCGTCTCAGCTCGCGTGTTTAGTCATTACCTTCCGTAATTATCCCGAGCGTTCCCTACGGTCAGAAGCTCAGTTCGACTACGTGATCTGGCCAAACAGCCGCTTACCTCCGCACCGATGAACAGTTTTGTGAGATCAAACCCAGCTGACGACTTTCGTGATCGGCGTCGTGTTTTGATAACTTCCCCCGACGGCAGTACCACAGTCTGCATTTCGTCAGAAAAGGTCAGGCACCGCGGAGACGCGAATTACCAAGTTGAGGAACCATTCCCCTTTAGCCGTACCATATCGCACGGCGTTTGTTCCAGAGCAGCCAGTGCTGACCATACCGCCGATGGTTGCTGTTGGGCCGGGATCTATCTACGAAGAGTCGGTCAGTGCTGGCGCGGAACACATACATACTTGGTTTGACTGAACTGGAAAGAACAGAGGTATCCCTAGTCGAAGTTCAAACCGGGTCACGGATGTTGAAAAGTCAACACCAACCTTTAGCGCGCAATGTCTCGTTGATGGTCATCCACCCGATCCCAGGTTGGCATACAAGGTCAGCGTCGGCCTCTAATGTTCTGTCAGTATCACTACATCTGCGGGTCAAAAAAACCAAACCATGTATCTCGATAATGTGATCCATTTCCGACATGTCGACGCAGATACAACCAGTGCGAACCCCACCAACTTGACCTTCCAAGCTCGTGGCGCCAGAATACGGCTGCAATGTGGTTGAAATGGGCAAAAAATCTACAGAGCAGAAAAACTCGTCTCACCACTATAGGCATCTTGTATTTGTTTGCGATTTTTACAACCTTGACGACATCTTCCGTGTTTTCGGGGTAGACAATTATGCTATGATCCACGCCTGTCGGGCGTCAGACGGTGAATCGAGCGAACCAAAAACGGTCAAGTACCATCGTGGTGATGAAACGACGACTGTCCGTGGATAATGAGTTCGGCTGGGTCCGTCGAGACCCCTCCGTCACGGGGCAGAGCGGATTTTAATTCCTTTATAGCTAGCTTGAAGTCCTTGGCGCTTCCATACTTCGGGGGACGCGTATCTTCCGTTGGGTCGACAGTCGACAGAGCGATACCATATCCGCCAACCGCGCCACACAGAGTCGTCGCGAGGAGAACGGCGAACACGCTGCCGTACACACGCGTGCTACCGCTGGTAAGAGGACCTTCTGGAGCTTTTTGCTTGAGCAGAGCGGTAGATTTCAGACCTCGAGACAAGAAGGAGGGTGCCGCAGCATTTTCGAGAGCACGTTGGCGAGAAAGTCGATACGCCTGGCAGAGCAGACGGGATGAGGACATGGAGGTCAAGATTGGGTCAAGATCAACCCTGGCGACACGTGCTGGTCAACTTCATCAGTTGAACTTTTTTGGATTACCCGTTTGTAGGTGCGGGAATGGATACGGTTTTCGGTTTTCTTCCGCAGGCCGCGATGTCAGGAAAATTGAAAATTCAGAAAAAAAGGAGAGCAACAAAAGGGAATCAAGTGAGGTTCGAACTGGTGACCGCCGACAAAGAGTTGCATAATCGACGCGCAGACGGCGAATGATTGGAATTTGACTTGCTCTACAGCCTCTGCTGCGGAGAAAAATAGTCCTCGGAAAACTGGAGGCTTCAGAACGCAAAAAGTGATCCGACCCAGGTTCGAACTGAGGACCGCCTGTGTGACAATTACGTAAATTGTTAGACAGAAGTGATAACCAACTACACCATCGGACCGATGAAAGACTTGGCTTGGAGGGGGAATCGATTGCAGTACAGCAAAGAACGAGGCGAAAACGGGTTGGAAAAAAGCGGAAGTGTCAATCAACTCTCCGATCACTGCCAGATGAACTCGATCGAGACATTGGACGACCCAACCATTACAGTGGACCACCTCCGCGTAAGTATCTTCTGCAGCAATAAGGGCATGACGGGCTAACATCCCCAGGTCAAAACCTGCTTCATCTGCCTTGAAGAAGAAAGCGCGCCTACACGTTCGGTTTCTCAGTGACTTCAACTTCAAGTCTTACCATTCCGCAGAACCCGATGGACTGGCCACCAATACCACGAATCCCTGGATCCATCCCTGTCCAAACTGTGGCCTAGTCGCGCACGACAGATGCCTTATCCGGTGGATAAGCTCCCTCCCGCTAAAACGGAGCGCGAAGACACCGTACAAAGATCGTTCAGGCTCCGTCTTTGTGCTGGATACGTTCCGATGTCCTCAATGCCGGCGTCCGTATGAACTGGCGCACCAACCGTCGCTAATGCACCGCCTGTTGATGGTATTCGACGCGGTCTATGTGCTTGTATCCGAACTGGGGCAGATTGGGAGCTTGGTCGTGGGTTTGACGACGTTTCAGATGCTCCCTGCCGCGGTTTTTGCGCAGAGCAGAATGTTGGCATCTGCAGGTCGGTACTTCCATGTCCTAGGACGTCGACACTGTTAACGTCCGTTTTGCAGGACTGCTGGTCCATGAAATCGCGTTTCTGAGAGTTTACCTCGGTTCACGGTATGTCCCTTATCCAAGACAGATCTAAAGAAACTTAGCCTGCGATAGCATGTTCAAGCTCCTCCTCACTGACAATTTCCGGGATCTCTACCGCTCCATCTTCATAGTCGCTCCAATGATTCCCTTGCGGATCATGTTCCCTGGGACGTCTCCCAGGTGGATAATGCCTCTATACCTCTCCTTTCCGCTCATCCTACACGGAATGACTAAACTGGTGCCGTCGGAGGGTCTAATACCGTTGGAGAGCGAGGTGCCCACCGCGTCCGGCCCCATGATATCCTTCTGGCCGCCCTCCCCCTCCTTGATCGGTTACGTCGGGACGTGTATCATAAGTCCCGTGTACAACCACTTCTTCGCCCGGTTCAGCACCTGGGTCCTCGGCGCGCCCCCGCCCCGGCGCCAGCGGACATACCTAAACGACCGCCTCGGCGCGCACGCAAGGGCATTCTTCACCCTCCGGCGCGTCCGCCCTCCCCGCGCAGCCGTGCTAGGCGCCGACCCGGACAACGACGCCGACCCGCCTCCGCTCCTCCTCGCGGCGCAGCTAGTCCAGAAGGACCAAAGCTCCTTCACGCACGACGTCGTGCACGCCGTCTTTTCCCTCTTCGTCCCGCGCCTCTTCGGCGGGCTCCTGCACGCCGCGTCCGGCCACTCGTCGTACCTGCGCCGCTTTCTCGGGCTGCGCCCCGCGGGGATGCCGCTCAGCAGCGGGGTTATCCCCCACTTCGCAGCGCTGGGGTGGGGGGAAAGGGTGTGGACTGCGCTCAAGCCGTCTTTCGCGCTGGTGTGTTTGGGCGGGTCGTGGATATGGACGGACGTCGATCCTGTGTGGTTCGTGCTTGCTCTACCCGCCTACTTTGAAGTTGATTCTTTGATTCAGGTGGAGGACCTCCCTCGGCTACGGCATATTTGTTATGGTGAGCATCCCGACTGCTACGTACTGGCAGCATGCTAATTGATTCAAAGGCGAAAGACTCTGTCGAGCTCTATCGGCTGTGGCTGCAAAAGAAGGAAGTGCAGAGTAGGACGATCAAGAGCCGGGATTTCGCGGGCGTCGATATCTCGGAGCTGGACCTTGTTGCGCCTGAGAGGTTTGCCGCTCGATAGTACTTACATGCGTCGAGATATTTTTTGATTTTTTCGCGGGGTGCACAGCCACTTGTCCGATGGTGTAATTGGTTATCACTTCGGTCTAAGCCTGCCTTATCTCGCAGTGTATATGTATGGTCGTCGAGAATATTAATCCGTGTGTGCTTTCATCTCCAAGAAGCAACTACAAAAAGCTCTATGCATATTACGCGTCTATTGTACCTTCGCCTTCGTCGCCCCACGCACGACCTCCGCCTCCGCGCGGATGCCCTCGGCCTCGACCTCGGCCATGAGCGTCCGCTCCATCTTGTCGCGCTCCTCCTCGGACGCGCCCTTCATCGCGTTCTTGGCGGCCTTGACGCGCGCGCTGTACTCGCGGTACTTGGTGTCCGTGCCGAGCAGGCGGTCCCACCACCGGAAGGACGTGCTGAAGTTGTTGGTGAACGCCATGTGGTGGAAGTCGTGGTGCTCCGCGCCGGACCAGAAGGGGATGATGTGCTGCAGGGACCAGGGGAAGTCTGGCAACACCTCTCAGCATTATAAAAATGAGAGAAGCAAGAAAGAGCGCACCATAGCCGCTGTGCGCGTCGATGGCCTGGAACAGACGCAGCGTAATCCAAATGTACATCGAGTAGATGTGCAAGTCGCCCGTGACCGCCGCCCACAGCAGCGGTCCTCCAATCGTACCCGTGCCCAAGATAGCGACCTCCGCGGGGTGCGCGTACTCTGCGGCAAGCCCGAACGGCGCCGAGTACTTGTGGTGGATTTTGTGGATGTGCTTGTACAGCGGGCCGTAGTGCAGCGCCTGGTGCGCAAAGTAGTGGAACATGTCTTCGAAGACGAAGAAGAAGGCGACTTGGGGACCCCATTCGCGGAAGGTAGGCAGGGGAACGTCGTAGGTGCGCATGCCGAACATCTCTGCCATGGGGTGGAAGAGCCAGATCTGGGGCGGTTGAGTTAGAACGTGGATACTCGAGGAAGAAACGGAGCGACAGGGAGGGACGGAAGGAGAGAGTAGTATCACAGCAGGTAAAACGATGCTGGTGACAATGGCTACGACGGGAGCATGGAAATGGATAGAAGGTACGAAAGAGCAACAGGGCGGCGGAGGTGAGGGCAGAAGAAAGAAAGGCATCTCGGAGTGCAATTCGTGCACCGGGTGCGCGTTTGCTCGACATCCGCCGTCGCTTCTCCCAGACAACGGAAAGAGGACGAGCATAATAAATGACAATGGCGATCCGTTCCAGCACCCCGGGGAAGCGTTTCGGACCCATCGCGCGATTGACCCCAGCTGTCTGAAGTCGAAGATATGTGTGCAGCTGAGAGCACTCGCCACCACATCTGAACACACGTTCTGCGGGCACAGATGCGATCCTCTGCCGCATGGCGTCGCTCGCTTTCGCGCGCAGAGATTTCAACGCACGGTCGACCCCCTAGTGTCGTCCTCAGTGCCGTCCCGCCCCGTTACCAAACAATCCCGGGGCGGAAATGCAAGGCGTGGCTTCGTTCCCCACCGTCGTCTGAGCAAATTGGCTTGACTTCACACCAAATGCCGGACGATGCACACATCACCCCGAAATTTGGATGCACCATTGCAAAGAGAGACCAAACTCACCACAGGCAACTCAACCATAAAGTGCGAGAACAGGACCTGCTTCGTGCACTCCCATTGCTCCTTGCCAGTGGGAACCTTCGCTGCCTGGAGCTTCCAGCGGCGGAAGTACGGTATCGCGTCGATTATAACCCATGGAATGGAGCGGCCAAAGTAGACAATCTAGAACAGCATGAATTCCAACTCTTTCGCCACAGTTTCGGCGCGCACCTCATGCACGAGAAAGCTCATTAAGCCCGTCGCGAGAATGGGGTTGCCGATGTAGATGTACCAGGCCATCCATTGCTGCTCGATCCATGAGAGCGAGGCATAGTCGACGGAGGAATCGTAGAAGGACGCGCTGGTCGCGTTATGCATGGTGGTGGTCGGAGAACAAGAGACGCCTAGACGGACGCTGTTGCCTTTTGACAGACTCCGCAAAAAAAGTCACCCGATTCCAAAACACACCACTTTTATTTTTGTTTTCTCGCGGACACGTGACCATCGCTTCCTTTACCGCAACCGCCATGTCGAGAAATCGAAGAACTTTGAACGCGTCCTTCGTTCAGTGAAGCGTCCTTAAAACACCGTAGATCTTACCTTGCTTCTTGGGATGAGTTACGGTCTCATGAATAGGCGAAAAAACAAGCTTGCAGAAACTTGACGAAAACCTAGGCTATTTTGAAACTATTGCAAGCCCTTGCAAGTTGCGGGAGGTCGACCTTGCTTGCAGTATGCGCATTAGAAGCGGATTCGAAGATTCGAAGACTCAGTTGGTAGTCAAAGATTCAAGCTGGCCATAATCGCGCCTTCGCGGCCTTCGACACCATGCTCCGATTCAGACGGTGACCGTTCGCTGTAGTAGGCCGCTTTCGGAACCTTTATCGAGCTCCAGCCATCGTCCCCAGCCTCTCCCGCCCGGTACTATAGCACCGACGCGCAAGCACCTCTCCGGTTTTATTTTGCATCGTCGCATCTTAGACGTCAAAATGGAAAGGAAACCCCTCGCTGAGAAAACTCCAACGGCCTATTCTCCTTTTCCGACTCTTCGCGATACTGGCGCAGCGCAGCTCAGACTGGGGCTTCGATCGCTGTGAATATCCCCTACGTCGTCGGGTACCTCTTGTTTCCTGACCTGCTTCCGATCCCACCAAGACCTGCTTACAGCGGTGGGTGCCCGACCATGACGGTTGGGAATCTCTGGAAGTCCAATTCTCCCTGATTCAAAGAGTACTATGAAACACTCCCAGAACCATTCACAAGTCGCCGCTCAATGAACGCTCCGTACTTCATCATCGTGCCGATAATCCGCAAACGCCCGAGTTGAACAGAGCAAAAAGACGCCCGATTCTAGTCGTTATGAAAACACGTCGAAGCCGTCAATCCCTCCCCGTCCACACCCGTCTCCTCCGCCCGCCCGCCCTCCCTCCCCGCCACCGCCTCTTCTCCTTCGGTCAGGACATCGGGCTACCCCGGGTAGGATCGGTAACCAGCCCCTCAGCTGCGCAATGCGTCGACGGGGATAGTCTCCGTGTCGTTGGTAA